TCTCCTCATTCACGACTTTATGTTCTTTGTTGTCTGATAACTGGTCCCTTCTACACCTTGTGGTCAGACAGGCTGGTGTGCTTCTTCAGTTGGGCTTTGTTGCTTCTCAGCTAGATGGCTGCTTGTTTACCTTCAAGCCTTTAAGACCCCAGACACTGTATTTTTTTATAGTCTGGCACCATCAGCTTTCTTCACCACATTTGCTTAGGCACCCATTTGTCTTCAGGGATTGTGTCGGGAAGGTGAGCATCATGGAATGAATGCCAGTTTAACAGAACAAAGTGTTCTTGCATTGAGGGAGTATTTGAGTGGAGGCCCCCCCAAAGCTTTCTCTTAAAAACTGTCATTTCTCACAGTGCCAGGAGCAGGAAAGCTCGGATAAAGCACTAGAGTGTAACGTTTATGTAAGCCTCTGTGTGCAAGTAGCTCCTGACTCACCAGAGAGGCATTCGCAAAGGGAAAATGAACCCAAAGAAATGTGACTAATCTGTTTATGACACTGCTTTAAAAAAATTAAGTAAACCACATCATTGCCTAATCAATTTTACCATGATTGAAGGAGGCAATTAGTAGCAAGAATAGCTAAACATAATAGGGTGCCTTAGTGGGGACCAGCCATTTTAAATTATCAGCTGGTAATTCAAAAACAGCTGGTAAACCCTAAGTACCCTATTCCTGTGAGCTATGATTATGCTGTGGCCATGATCTCAGGAGGGACCAGTCCCTGGCGAAGGACATCATGCATCCTGCTTGCTAAAGGGGAGGGTCAGGGAAAAAGAGGAAGACCCCCAAGAGCTGGACTAACACAGTAGTTGCAACTATGCGCTCAAACATAAGCAACATCTGTGAGGATGGCGCAGGACAGGGCAGTGTTTCCTGTTGAACACAGCGCCGCTGAGTCGGAACCGTCTGGACAGCACCTAATAACAGCAACCGTGTGGGCCAGCCACTGTGCTGTGAGCCAGGTATCCTTCATGCCTTCGGTGTACATGAGGGCATGAGTAAGGCCCCGGGAGCTACGGAGCTGTCTGTGTCACGGGGCGAATGAGCCAGGAGAGCATGAAGGCACCATACCGGTACACCAGGGTGAGCTAAGAGTACAAGACGAACTAGGTTACCACTGTTTGTAGGGGCTTGATTGGGAAGGAGATGGAAGACAGTCTATATTGTCACTGTTTTTATTATTTTAAAGAAGTTATCTTGGTGCTCATAAGATTATTTTCCAATTTAGTGTACTTAAAGAAATAGTAAAAACAAAAACTCCTCAAATACTGTCTTCATCTGCTTCCTCTGATCAAACGCCTACAGGCAATTGCAATCCAGTTATTCTTGGGCTCTTACTTCACTCTGTTCTGTCTGCATCCTCATTCTCTCTGGGTGGAAAAACAGCAAAACATGTAACCCCTAAATGGGTCCTGGTGGAACAAGGGGTTAAGCGCTGGGCTGCTAACTGAAAGGTTGGAAGCTAGACGCCACCAGCTGCTCCAGGGGAGAACAATTAGGGTCTGCTTCCATAACCATTTCCAGACCCAGAAACCCTAATGGGGCAGTTCTGTCCCACCTATCGGGTCAGCATGAGTCAGAGCCCACTCCATGGTCTAGCCGGAGTAGTAAGGTATTATTGGGATCATGAGAGGGGGGCGGGGGAGGAAGCATTTAAGAACTAGAAGAAAATTGTATGTTTCATCGTTGCTACACTGCACCCTAACTGGCTCATTTCCTCCCCAATACCCTTCTGTAAGGGGATATACAGTTGCCTACAGATGGGCTTTGGGTCCCTAATCTACACTCTCCCTCATTCACACTGATATGATTTTTTGTTCTTTGATGCCTGTATTAGTCTGGGTACTTTGGAGAAACAAATCCACAGCAACTCACGTATAAGAGAGAGTTTTATGTAAAGAAAAGGTGCATCACAAAAACATCCCAACCCAATGCTGCCCAAGCCCACAAGT